CTGCATGGACAGACAGCAAGGGCTGACCTGGGCTCAGGCCAGGTCCGGATCAGGACCCCTCTCTGCTTGTTTCTGCAGGCTGCCAGGCACAGTCACTGGACCTGGTCTTCCTGTTAGACTCCTCAGCCTCCGTGGGACCTGAGAACTTTGCCCAGATGCAGGGCTTTGTGAGGAGCTGTGCCCTCCAGTTTGACGTGAACCCGGATGTGACACAGGTCGGCTTGGTGGTCTACGGAAGTCAGGTGCAGACAGCCTTTGGGCTGGACACTCATCTCACCCGTGCTGCCACACTGCGGGCCATGAGCCAGGCCCCCTACCTGGGTGGGGCAGGCTCCGCTGGCATGGCCCTGCTGCATATCTATGATAAAGTGATGACTGTTCAGAGAGGTGCCCGGCCTGGTGTCCCCAAGGCTGTGGTGATGCTCACTGGTGGGAAGGGGGCGGAGGATGCAGCTGTCCCTGCCCAGAAGCTGAGAAACAATGGCATCTCTGTCTTGGTTGTGGGTGTGGGGCCTGTCCTGAGGGAGGCTCTCAGGAGGCTCGCTGGTCCCCGGGACTCTCTGATCCACGTGGCAACTTACGCTGATCTGCACTATCACCGGGACATGCTCATCGAGTGGTTATGTAGAGGTGAGTGTCACCCCTGAGACAGGACTCCCACTGAGACAGGACTCTCCACATGCAGGGTTTGCACTAAATCTTACATGCTCACAAAGTCCCACAATAGCTGTAACTGACTCCAGTTGACATCTAAGAAGCAAGGAACTTAACCCAGACACTCCTTCCCAAACTTAAGATTCATGCATTCCATCAAATGGATGGCATTTTAAGGAAATCTACAGCTCCCCAGTACTGTAAGCACCCCAGGCAGATACTGATGCATGTAGCAAATGATAGAACTAAGAGCCAAACAGGGCCAGGCCATCTGACTCCATGGCTTCATTTTGCTTTTAAAAATTAATAATATGGGGCTGGGAAGGTGACTCAGTGGTAGAGTGCTTGCCTTGCATGCACGAGGCCCTGGGTTCGATTCCTCAGCACCATATAAAAAGAAAAAGCCAGAAGTGGCGCTGTGGCTCAAGTGGTAGAATGCTAGCCTTGAGCTGAAGAGCTGAGGGACAGCGCTCAGGCCCCCGAGTTCAGGCCCCATGACCGACAAAAAATAAATAATAATAATACTTGTTGTGGATACCAATGGCTTACACCTGTAATCCTAGCTATTTGGGTGGCTGAGCTCCCAGGACTGCAGTTCCAAGGTAGCCCTGAAGTAAAGTCCATGAGACTCATTTCCAGTTGACCAGAAAAAAACCAGAAGTGGGGAGGTGTAGCTCAAGTGGTAGACCACCAGCCCTGAGTGAAAAAGCTAAGCGACAGCGCCTAGGTCTTCCTGAGTTCAAGTCCTAGCACCTGCACACAAACACACCCCCACAGTCCCCCCTCCACACACGCACACACACACACACACACACACACACACAAAGGCATGTAAGCAATGCCATTGCTATGAACTATCTGAGAGAGTCTATATTACCTGTAGGAAAGCTAGGTGGAAGTTGGATCTCATTCATCTTGTCAATCAAAGCACCAATCATTTGCTAACCTATTACTTTAGGGCCTTAGAGGATAGGAAGATTGGTAAGATGCTGCACCAGGGTCCTCATATCAAAATTGGGCTTGCTTAGAGCAGGGATCATTGGGTGTGACCCAGTGTGGTCCTGGTGAACATGCTCTCCATTGCAGAAGCCAAGCGTCCAGGGAGCCTCTGCAAACCCAACCCATGCATGAATGAGGGCACCTGTGTCCTACGGAATGGGAGCTACCGCTGCCAGTGCCGGGGTGGCTTGGAGGGCCCTCACTGTGAGAACCGTGAGTATGAGAGTTGGGGAGTTACTGAAGTATACTCTTAGTCCTGCCAAGTCCTACACACTGCTGAAGACAGGCCTGTCATTCAACCACTTATTCATTCACCCAGGAAGCATGTCATATATCCCCGGCATTGGTTTAGTGCAGGGACTAATGCAATGAAGAAAATGAAGAAGCTGCTATTGTAGTGGTGAAAGACAATAAAGTGCATAGTACAGCCTATAGTTAAATGGTGCTAAGTACACTGGAGGAAAAGTATGGCTGCTAGCAAGGAGCCTTGGGAGAACAGGAGATCCAGAGTAATGAGGATGCAGACAGTTCTGACAGGTAGAAGCTGCTGGGCATCCTCTTTGAATGTTTCTATTTGCTCAGTGATATAGGAAGAGCAGCCATTGGCTGAGAATATGGCCATGGAAGAGGGGCTGAGGTCTGGAGAAGGAAGTCACTGTTGGAAGAGTTACATTAACAGGAATCAGAAGACACTGGTGTCTTCTTGGCACAGATGAGCTTCTGACAGCCAAGGAGTGGGTGAAGGGCAGTCAGATGGAGTTGTGATGGCCTCTTCTGCTTGATGGATGTTGAGTTGTACAGGAAGAGGGACAGGAAGGGGCTTGCAAAGACTACTAGACCCTGATGTCTTCAGAGTTTTCTTTCTTCTCCAGGGGTGCTGAGAGGAGATGCCCCACACACACATGGCTCCCGCCATGATCCTGCAGGACAGCAACCAGCCTCCTTCTAACAACTTCCTGGACATCTCAGAAGCTGAATGCTACCCTCAGCAAAGTGGGTCTCTTGGGGGCCTTTGCATGTCTATTTCTTGCTCCTGCTTGCAAGCCTTCATCAAGGAGAAGGACATTCCAACTGCAGATGCAGCTGCTTGGAGACAGCAGTAGCAGCTGATGTCACTCACTGACAGTGATGCTGAAAAAGTAATGTGGCCATGCTGTCTGTGTCTGGCTGTACCTTGTAGAGGAAGTCATCCGCCACTTTTCCTCTGAGGAGAACGGGACATTTGGTGGCCTAGTTATTCATCCCTTTGCCCACCACAAATGAAAGACAAAATGTTGCAACAATAATACCTAACAGAAGGCATTCACTGAAGTGTGAGGAGGACCAGATGGAAAATGTATAGACCTCTTTCTTTCCTGAAAGATCTCTTGTGTGCATTTACTTTTAGTGTAAAGAGGAACTTAGCTGGCTGGCATTTGTGAATTCTTTTGGGGACTGGATCTATCTATATGAGGGAGAATACTGAAAAGGTCTTAGACTGAAATGTGCAGGTTTTATCTATGAGAGAGGGGCTGAGTGTCCAGGGCTTCCTTTTTAAAGTATATTCAGGAGGGGTTAGTGTGACGGGCATATTAAAACCTCCATTTACCCTACTTCAATGGGACAAAGTAGAATTTTTGACCTCAACAAGTGAACAATAAAGAAACTCATAAACAGTTTTGCTGTTTAAAACGTAGGTATTATGCTAAATTTTTGTTTTGATTTGCTTTTCATGCCCAGTGTTTAAAGGAATAGTACAAACAGATGCTGTTGGTTATTTATTTACCAGAAGTATTTTGTAGCTATGTGGCAAAAATTATTTGGATTATCTTCTGGCAAACTAGGTACTTAGGAATAGGTATTTAGAAATGAATTCTTCCCCTTGGTCATGTTGTTGGATTTACAGTAGAAGTCTTTATTGAGCTCTGACAGAAATCCAGAGACATTATCATAATTTTTCTTATTTTTAGCGTAATGTTTAATGTGTTGCTTTATATACAAAAATTCAAGGCAAGGCTACTCTAATTTCAACACCTCTTAAAGAAATTCAGGTTTTCTGGAGAGGTATCACTATGGTATGATTATATGTTGAATGGGTGCTCTGTTCTTCCAAACATTGAGTTGTGACAATAATTTGTGTTTGAGGGATGTTTTCATTAATAATTCATCTCTTACTATCACAATATTCTTCATATACAACAGCATCAGGGCAGAAACACCTGCCCATCCAGAGATTCTGAGCAGTGCTAGTGTAGAAGCTGTGAATTAATTAAGATTTGTAACAGACTATTTTTATCATTGGGGTCATTATCTTTAAGGATATATGCATGTCTCATTTGAATTACTTAGACTCCAGCAACAGACGGGGTTGACATACTAAGAACTTTCCCTCTTTCTTTCTGGGAGGTGGAGCCCAGCCCTTGAAAAGCAGCAGAGAATCTCTGTCTTATTGCCTAACCCACCCAGCACCTTTCTTTCATTTTAAACAAACCTCTAGCTTTAATTTCTTGCTTTTGCCTTTAATTATATTTTTATAATTTTATAATTAATTATATATTTCCTTACAAAACGTAAAACACTGTAGGATCTACCTTAAATCTTTACTAGTAAAGATCTGAATCCTGCCACTTTGCTGAAGCCTCCAATTCAAGTTCTAACAGTTGAGCCTGTTATATTTGTAGGAAAATGTCATTTACCAATGGTGAAGGCTTTGTTTCTTCTGAAGCTGAATATCATTCTTCATGTCATTTTGCATCATGTAGGCTCTTCTGAATACTGTTTTTCTTTTGTTTTTTTTTTTAAGTAGTGATAATGCCCTTTATCCATACCTGATTCTGGACTACCAGTATGTTTTCATCATTAGATTTGTTAAAATTTCTGGGAGTCACTTTATCAGGTTAAGAAGTTTTTTGCGGGGGGGGAGTGGGGGTCCGGTCGTAGGGCCTGAACTCTGGACCTGGGCGCTGTCCCTCAGCTCTTCAGCTCAAGGCTAGTGCTCTACCACTTGAGCCACAGCACCACTTCCAGCTTTTTTCTTTTTGCTTATGTGGTGCTGAGGAATCAAACCCAGGGCCTCAGGCATGCAAAGCAAGCGCTCTACCACTGAGCCACCTTTCCAGCCCCAGGTTAAGAAGTTTTTATGCCTATCTCTGGATGACTAAGGTGTTAGGAGCAAGGAGATATATGGTATTGCCTTTCCACTTCCTCACAGGTAGTTTTTCTCATTTAATCTGTTAATGTGGTCAGTTGCATACTGGTATATTTTCAATCATTGAACCACTCTTTTGACTCTTTGGATAAACTCTATTTATGATACTTCATTCTATTTACACTGCTGAATTTTGTAGACCAATATTTTTATTTATTTATTTTTCACCAAATTTGAAAGTGAGGTTTAACTTTGTTTATACTAGGTATAGAATTTTTGGTATCAGACCAATACTAATTATATCATGGAAAATTCCTATTTCTCAAAGTTCACACTGCTATAGTCAGTATTATCTTGTAGCTAAACAATCTTGGCAATGTTTTAAAGCCTCTTTTTATGGCCTTACATTGGCTTTTTATTGCATTATCTTTTTAAAGGATCAAGGTATTGTTCTGTCGTTTCTTAAGTAAGCAAATTTTTGTGACCAAGTTCCTTAGTTACTACCTAGACAATCTTCCAAGTATTGGTATGTTTCCTTTCACCAAGAATTATTTAGAAGTCTGTTTAACTTCCAGAAACATGAATCCTCCCTCCCCATTTTCCTATGTATAAATATTTTCTTCAGCTTTTTTATGTATGTTAAGTCCATTGTATTTAAATCTTTGTTCAGGCTTACTTTGGTCATTTGCTTTAAGGAGGATTAAAATCTCTTGCTAGGATCCTACCTTGTGGTTCTATCAATTTTAACTGTACACATTCTAAAGTTCAGCCAGTTAAATAACCGTGACATTTTATCAAATGCAAGGAAAACACAAAATACAATGACCATTTTATTTAAAAAAAAAATGAACTCACCACTTGGTAAAGGTTACCAAGTGTTTATGACACAGGAAATAAATGCCCTGGGATTAGAAATACAATTAAAAAATTTTAAAAAGACTTTAAGGAATCAGTGTTAGAGAACTCTGATTCAGATTCCAAGAAACAAGGCAGGGATAACATATGAAATGTTTCAACCTCTGCTAGCCAACAACACTGTCACAGGAGGAAATGGAGCAGCACAGAGAATAGTACTGCCAATTTTAAGAGAAGAAGAAGGCTACCCTAACCAATTCACCATATTTTTCTCTTGCAGGGGACTGGAAATTAAAACATCTTCAAAATGAGGACTAAAAGAATATTATATTAAATAATTCTTTCCTAAAAGTAACTTGATCACAGGACTGAATCTGTAAACACAATAATTGCTTTTCTATAGTGATGTAAAGTTAAATTCAAATTTCACTGCTCTAAATGATGGAGTTTAAAACATATTTTTGTATATGTTATAGCATCACTTACAACTTTATTTAAAAGCAGTTGATTCAGACCTGCCTTGCACTGGAAAAAAAAGTCCTTACTTTAGTAGAGTCATTGTCTTAGCTTCATCCCAAACAGTTCCTTTGTTTGAACTTCAAAGTCCATAATTTAAGTGGTTTTACACCAATGCTATAAATGCTGTTTAAAATCACTGAAGAGATGGACCAACTAATACCGGAGGCAAGGATGGTTTAACCCCCAGTACTGACAGGTATCAGATAAGTGACGACAGTCAAGTGTTTAGATCTTCTCAGTTAACAAAGCCACCTGACCCTGAAACCTAAACTTCTCTTCCATCAAAGTCTAATCATCAGAAGCTTTTTGCTACTTAAAAATCTTGATAAAGCAATGGATAAAACTTCAAAAGTGAAACACAGAACATCCTAAATACAACAATGACTTGCAGCTAAAAGACTTAGATTTACAAAGAAGTCTTTGTTGCTGTTACATTCCCTTTGACTTAGCAAAGGGACAGAGCTTCCCTTTTTTCAGCCAAAGCTCTTTATTTGTTGTATTCCAGTCCTGGCTTTTTCTTCCAAACAGGTTCACCCTTGCTCAGAGTTTCTGTTTTAATGAAGACTTTACTGAAGCAGGATTGTCAAGAAGGTCCATATTGACACACAAGAGTCTTTAGATGGTGTTGAATTTCTAACTTGCTCCTTTCTTCTCCCATTCCTAGAGTGACATTCAAATACCAACACCCCCCAAAAGAAAGTTATTCTTTGTAGCAAACTTTATTTATATAGAAAAAATAAGAAAAACAGTTCAATGCAGTTAAAATAGATATGGCAATGATGTTTCAAACCTTGTGTGTTTAGCTCCACATAGAACACTTCTAAAGAGGTTTTGGAGGCTGTGACATGGGAAAGTACTGTGAGCAACTAGTGATGTCAGGTACTGCAGTGAGGGAGCACAGGGTCTAATGGATTCAGTTGTTGGCCATTGATCTGAGTGCTCCAAGGATCTCCAAGCAAGCAGACAACCAAGAACAACATTTCTAAAAACAAAGGCAGCTCTAGACATGTTCCTTATTATGAAAATTAATTAAGGACTAATAATACTCCTTGTGTAGCTAAGGCAGAAACCTAGTCCCAGGATCCATTCCTTACTTATGCCTTGCTGACCCTTTAGTCAACAAGTCAGTTGGGACAATCCATATCACCTAAGTCTATTTTGGTTTTAATAGTTGATCCTTTGAGATAATTTATTTTCTGGTTTGAAAACACTTTGGTTACACTCTGTGAGAATCAGTTGTCCTTTTGAATCTATTGCCAAGTGGTGGTGGTGGGAGGGAACAGAGCACCCTTGGGCTTATTTGGGAGAACACTTGAGTCAAGTGCAAGCATCTTTCTAATTAACCAGTGCCAACAACTAAGCCTAAGGCACAGCAAAGTCAGACTTCTTTATGTTGAAAGCAAAGCTCTTGCTCAGTGCAAGTGCCCAAACCCACAAAGTGCCCCCTGCATCAGAAGACAGGTCCCACTTTAGCACCTATTCTGCTGGCTGTTCTGAAGGAACAACCACTTACCTTAGCTTTCTGTAGCACGGTGCCTTTGCCTGTGACCATGACCGAAAGAGGCCTGTTCTTAAGCACGGAAGCAGAGTTGACGGGGGTGCAGTCTGGGACAGGGATGGGAGAGGCAGCTTTGGGCTATGGTAAAGGAGAAGAATTAGATCAAGGGAAAGGAGACACAACCCACCTCCCCCAATCCATGTCCAAGTGGCTCTGTAGGCAACTCAGAGGAGCTGTAGCATGTGGCACTCACACGGGGGCTTATGCTATCCAAGTGGGTGGTGTCCACAGTGGTACCCAGTGTCACAGGCCCAGCTTCAGCCTTCTTCAGGTTTTCCTTCACCTCCATGATGTTGAGCTCAAGGTCCACACGCCTGCTCTCCTCGATGCGGCACTCCTCATCAATTTCCTTCAGCTTCTGCTCCAGGCTGGCCAGGACTCCCTTGTCTGGAGAGAAAATTAAGTCATCTATAAGCGCAACATTCCAACCAAGGCCAGTAATAGATGCTGGGTAGAAGCAGCGTCTACCAATACCACTTCTAGAGCCAGGCCTCGGCTCAAGGTGGGCCACTGTTCTGGTTCTAACCTTTGAGAACCAGGATTGGCCATTTTGTATGCAGTGGGCAGACTTGAAGTCCAAGTGTATGCTTAGCATTCTCCCAGACTAGGAAGACTCTGGAAGAAGAGATATCTTCCCTTAGGCATGTGTCTTAGGTGTAAGTCACTTCTGGTAGGTTCTGAAGCTTTCAATTCTGATACCTGCTAGTGTGAACAGTGACCCAAGAGCCTAAGTGCAGCTTTTCCAGTGGCCCGTGATGAATGCACTGTGCTGTCCTGACTGGGTCCCTCTATGACCTGGAACTTGGTGCCTCCCAAGGCTTGACCAGGCAGAGTTCCTCTGTCCTGGGACCTTCTTAGCCCTTTCTGATGTGTCTCCTCTTATCCCACCTCAGGGGTTAAGAAAGGATGACCTTCAAGAGGCCATCCTAGAAGTCTAATGCTGGAGGAAAAGATGGCACAGGTGTTCAGTTACTAAGTGACTGGCACGAATCAGAAGCCATCTAAAACATGTGCTGATTCCAAGCTTGATGGTGAATAACCATCGGTCAGAACATACCTTAGCATGTGCAAGGCTCTGGGTTCAATCAGACCCAACCCCACAAGCAAACAACAACTGCAAAAAATTCACGGAGAAAAAAATGAGTACATGTATTAGCAATGTTTTGAGGACTGGGAAAAAATGTCTGTAACAAAGTTTATAGTTAGTGGTGATATCAATACTTTGGAACTCAACTGATCATCTGTGATTTATTAACCCAGGTTGTATAGGGCTTATTAAGCAGGAGAATAAACTACAGGGAAAAGTCTCCCTTTTCTGGACTATCTTCCTGAGTTAAATTGTCCTCTAGGTTTTCCAAATCACCCTATCATTGGAAACCTGTTTCCTAGCCACTTAATTCTTGTAGGACAACTCTGCCTCAACCCTGCCCTTCCCACCAGGTTGCCCTGTCTCCCCACAACCTCTCCACCACGATGTTCTGCATCACGACAGCTCCAGAAACACAGAACCAGCCCGCCCTGGACGGAAACCTCTGAAACCGTGAGCTAAGATAAATCTTCCCTTCTTTAACTTGTTTTTGCCTTGGGCATTTTGTCACCACAATGAACGATGAACACAATATAGAAGAATGCTGAACTCTCAAAACCTAGTACCCTCTATAGAAACAGTCAGCATCTTAGTGGTTGAGTGAGTGAAGGGTGACTGCTAACAGGCACAGACTTTCTTTGGGGTTCAAATGTGTATTGCGGAGGTGGCTGCATAATTTTGACTATTTGAAAAACCATTGGCATATATTTGAATGGGTCAACTGGATGACATAAGAACTACCAATAAAGTAACTGTCTAAAAACACAGTGGTTCTGCATCCTCAAGACCTTTCTTCAACTATAGCATAAACTTCCTAGGAATCATCTGCCTCAGACCCCAAAACTGCTATGCCAGTTGTGCTTGGTAGGGCAACTCGACAGTTTAAACATTAAATGAGTTGGAGTTCTATGGAAAGATCCTGCAAGAATTAAGTGGCTAGGAAACAGGCTTCCAATGATAGGGTGATTTGGAAAACCTAGAAGGCAAGTATTGCAAGTACTATAAGTTTTATTATTTTATTTAAAGAAGTACAATCTGGTCGGGGCTGGGAAGGTGGCTCAGTGGTAGAGCGCTTGTCTTGCATGCATGAGGCCCTGGGTTTGATTCCTCAGCACCACATAAGCAAAAAGAAAAAAGCCGGAAGTGGCGCTGTGGCTCAAGTGGTAGAGTGCTAGCCTTGAGCTGAAGAGCTAAGGGACAGCGCCCAGGCCCAGAGTTCAGGCCCCACGACCGGACCCCAAAAAAAAAAAGAAGTACAATCTGGAAATCAAGGACCATGCATTGCAGGTGTGGCTAACATAAGGATGATGAAGGACACCAGTCAGCTGACCCAGATCTCAAAACAAGGCCTTGGCACAACATGGAAAACCAGCCGAACAACCTGCTGGTCCTGTTACCAACCATCAGAGGTTCCCTGTGTACAGGAAGGACTTTCACATGGAACAGTGGAAAGAGGGGCCTTGTGTTGGGTGAAGGGCTTGGGCCCAGCAGTCTGGAAGGCAGATCATCCCTCCACCAAGCCTCCCTGAGCCCTGTTCTGTTCCTCCCCACGTGCAGGCCCTTACCTGTGCATTTTAACAAAGTCTCTTTCAGCTCTCGTTTCTCTTTCCGGAGCTGAGCCAGATGCCCCCGGATCTCTTCCTTCTTCTTTTCCAGTCGTTCTTTCTCTTCTGTGTACCGCTTCACTTCAGCCTCTGTCCGATTCTTGCCAAGTTTGATCTCTACAGACCCAGGGTGGAGAAACCCTGTGTCAGAGGCAGGGGATCAGAAGCAGCCCCAGCCCGTATCCCAGGGTCAGACAAAGCCCAGAGTTTGGACAGAAGAGCAGAGCTGACCACCAGGTCAGCCCAGGAGGGATGGGAAAGGAAACAGAGTTTCACACTGTCTTTGTTAAGTAACCTAGGACAAAACCCCTTCACCTCTCTGAACCTCCATTTCATCATCTGAAATGGAAGGAATTGGGCTAACTTCTCCAAGCCATGTCTGCAAGGGTTAGCTCTGATCTAGCCCAGGCACCTGCACTGGTCACCCGCAGCCTGTCCTTCGCGGGTGGGCTGGCACTGGCTGGTGCGGTAGCTACGGTGTCAGGACAATTTGCTGGAAAAGAGATTCTCTGCTGCTCAGCCTGCAACTTGACCGTGGGGGTTTTCAGGGTGAGTTCCTCAGGCTCCTGGCTCTCCAGCTGCCTCTGCATAGGGAAAAAGCATGAGACTGGGCTGGCTGGAAGGCATAGGAAGACGCAGGGCTTATCAGCAGAGACAATGGCCTGTACCTGGCCTGCCGAGTCCTCTGGAGACTTCCTGCAGAGTTCATCCAGGCTGGGGCCTGGACTTGGGTCTACAGGGAGGCCATCAGCCAGATGATCCAGATACAGTGATGGAGGGGAGGTGGCCTGGGCCTGGGCCCCGCTGGGGCTGTATAGGAAGGACTTGACTGGCGTGAGGTCCAGGTAGACTCGGTCAAGCTCGCTCTCAGTCATGATATCTGTGGCAGGGGCGGTCTCCCCAGCAGGTTCTACCTGCAGATGACAGAAGAGTCAGGTGGCATTCGTGATGACCTCCACGCTCTTAGCTATGGACAAGGCACCTGCCCTTGCTGTTGTTCCTGGGGACATCTTTCCTCTGGGACAGCCCCTCCCCCCAGCCATTGAGTCCTAGATAGGCTATTCCAGAAGACCAGGACATGGTCATTGCTTCCCTGACTCGTGTTTCCTCATCTGTAAAGAGGAAGAGGGTGGGGCCTTTGTGTAGAATGGTGAGGTCTGCCATGAAGCCCTCATACAACAGGCATTGCTGGACTAGGATCTTCTACTAAATAGACAATCTGCCTCCGCCATCAGTATAGACCTTGAAAGCTAACGAATGAGGTCTCCACTCTCAGACTCTATACTAAACCAGAGCAGACAATCAGTGGTTTCATCTAGTCTCCAAGTCAACTGTATAGTCTCATAGACAAAAGATGAGGTTTCTGTGCCTAGGGGTCTGTATCAGTGGCCCTGGGGGTGAGCAGGTGACCATCTCTGGTGTGGAGGTTTAGTGGACAGCCTCAGACCACTGTGTGCTGTCCTTACTCCAGCTGTCAGCTCCGACATCTCTACGTCATCGTACAGCTCCTCCTGGAGGTCCCGGCTGGGTAGACCATCGATGTATGTGTTGGGCTCGGAGAACTTCCTCTGCATCAGTCTGGAAGGTAGGGTTGGACACAGCAAGCATGAAGCCCCAAGGACAGGGTGGAAGACAGCCAGCCTCCCAGGACCCCAAATGAAAGCCCTTGGCTGCACAGAGATCTAGGGATGAAAATCTGCGTCAATGGGCTTCAGGGTAATCTCTTCCCTCTTCTCATAACCTTCTTCCTAGAACTATTCAGGTTAGATTTCTCCCAGAAACACAGCACTCCCGGACCCCCTCCTCTCAGCATCTCCTGCCTGTCTGCTCCAGATTACTCCCTTTCAGTATCTCCTCCAAGTGGCAACCACAAGATCCATTCTCCTTTCATCCCCACGATATACCTGGGGGCAGAATAGACTAGACACCATCCCTATTTGGTACAGAAGAATATGGGTTCTGTTACAGTGGCTCAGCCAGCATTCACCAGCATGGGTGTTGATTCCTTATCCCAAGAAGTTTCTCCCGAAGCTCCAGCTTGCTCCTGGCTGTGCTGGAGACCCAGTGAGGCCCAGGAAAGGTGGTTGCTCTGCCCTAGGGAACTGGAGAGTGTCCAACCAGAGCTGCAGCTAGCTCTGGGGCCCAGCTCAGCCCCTAGCTCTTTGTGGGCTTTCCTGAGGGATGTTTCCTTAGCCTTGGACTTTGGCTCTTCTTGCTGCTGGACACAGTTGGGCCAAGCCCTGTGCTCTCTCTCATGAGAAGCCAATCTCTCTCTCAAAGGCTGGTCTGGGTCTAGAGTCTAGTAGCATGGCTACAATGGAGAGTGAATAATGAAGGACCCTCCCCACCCCCTTCATACTCACAAGAGGGAGGTTTTGGCAGCACTCACAATACACGAAACCCTCTCAGCATCCACATAGTCGTAGGTGAACTCTTCTGGGTCTGTCTTGGAGCCTGATTCAGAGAGTAAGAGGCCTAGCCAGTGGCCCATCTCCTCAGAAGATTTGGCCTGGAAGGAGACCAAGAGAGACATGAGCCAGGCCAGAGTCAGGGTAAGTGATTGTCCCCAAGACAGCAACAGCGTGACTTCCAGAAGGCCCAGCACTCCACTGCCAGATCTGGATCCCCATCGCCACGCCTCCAGCACAGCTAATAACATATCCCATCCCCCAGGACCCTAACTTCTTCTTGATGCTACCCAGTGATGGCCTGGACATTCACTAGAGTATTACATGTGATAGGTATACAATGTATGTCTATATGATAAATATTGTTATTTACCATGAGCTGATAACTGTGAACATTGTCATCAACTGCCAGCAATTATCATTAAAATGACTAACTAGTAAGCAATCATATGCACTGTAGGTCTATACCTCTGTTTATCACCCTAATCCATGCCCACAAACCTGCTTGTATTTTGCTAAGAAATAACTCCAAATTCATGTTTTAAAATGATGTCAGGAAAGTCAGGGTTCCTTAAAGACCTCACGAAGGTCAAATCTCTCTTTTACATAATATCCAACTGAATTGGGTGTTTGTTTCTTTCTAGACAACAATACATTCTAACAAATGCATATGCTGGGTATTTCTACTAAAACACGTACATTGTTTCTTGCCTTCATGACATCCCCCCCAACCAGGATTCTCTAAAAGCCACAGGTCTGTTCCCATGAGGAAAGCCAGCTACCCTTCGGCATTGGGCCATGCAACACGACCACACTTTTGGTTATTTCCTCTTAATCGGAGAAGCTGGATTTGACATTCCATTGGTCTTCTCTTTCCATGTATTTTCACCAGAATGTCTCAATACCACTCTTCATGGGCATCCCCTAGATCAGACTACCACCTGTGCCTTCCTCACAGGGCTTATTCTTCCCTTTCCATCCATCTGCCACCCAGCAGCTGAACGAGATGTCTTAAAATCCCACCTCTCTTGAAATTCTTAAGGGGTTTAATTACTCCCAAATCCAATTCTGTCCCATTTTCCCAGCCTTGTCCTAAGTAACTACCCAGGAGACATTCTCAGCTCCCTCCCAACTTCCTTCCAGTTACTGTAACTAAGCAATCAACTGGGTAATTAGAAGAATATCATAGAGTGTAAGTGTCATGAGGACAGGAAGCATCACTGTTTTCTACCATATTGTTATGGTATTGAATAGATGCTTGCCATTTGGCAAGTGAATGGGAGAATACAAGCTGGTCCACATGTCTATGATGTGGATGCTCTAGCCACCAGAGGGCAGTATTGGAGCAAAATCTGGAAGAAGACCCCAGGATGAAGGCCTGAGAGAACAGGAGTGAATGGGTGAGTACATACAAGGAAATTGGGCTCCACCTATGGGGCTGATTACAAGGAATTATGTCACCTCTTGTTTTTGCAAATGTAACAGCATATCAAACAAAGGGTAGGGCGTAGGAGAAACGTAATTACATCACAGAGCGGATCCTACCATCTGTCTAAGTTCTGACAGTAGCCATTTTTATATGCTGGGACCTTGAGGTTCTTCTGGCTGATGTCAGCAAACTAAATAGCACCCATTAGAACCCAAAGCCGCGCTGGCGTCTCCCAGAGTTATAAATACTTTCAACTGCCCTAAGTGCAGGAAGTAGCTCATTGTCCCGTTCCTATAACACAACCACCCTGAGGTCAGAAGGGGAATGAACATTTTAAAAAATGCAAACAATTGCAGGCAAAGGAAGTAAAACTAATGGGTGGCTACATTGATTCTCGGCAGGAGAACCTTTCTCAATACTTGGACCTGAGGGTCATGTCCTCTACGCCTTGCTGTCTCTCCCGCCTCCCTCCTCCCTCACCGGCTAGCTTACCTCCAGCTTGGCCAGTTCCTCGCCATTGTGGAGGATGCGGAAGGAGTAGAGGTGGTCAGGGTTTGGGTCTGGAACCACTTCACAGCCCAGCAGGCTGAGCGGCTGCTGAGCTACCTTGCTCCGGTTCCGGTCCTGGTAGAAGTGTAGGTGATTGTCCCTGACAGAGCACCAGCGGGACTTCCACTGGCTGTTCACCAGCACATTCAGGTAACCTGCAGGAGAGTGTGCAGAGGCAGGAGAGGTGGAGCCGTGGAAGGAGACAGGGCTGCAGGGAGGGGTAGCATCCAGAGACCCAGAGGAGAGTCATCTCTGTGTGAGGGAGATAGACACCTGCAGGACGGGATGAGGCTGGGATGGGAAAGCTATCAGAGAAACCGAGGAAACAGGCTTCAGAAACAACAGGATTCACCTTGCAACCAAGAGGCTCCGGTTGGGTGAGTTTCCTGCCACAGTGGCCTGGGTGACAAGAGGTAGGCAGCACACGGCAGGTTGGGGCATGCGCAGCTATGCACATACTGCCTCTGTCCTGTGCACATACTCACTGGGCCACATACTCACAACCCACTTCTCTCTGGAGATCCCTTTGCTCAAAAGCAGGACAGTCAGTGACTCACAGCTGTCATCCTACCCACGCAGGAGGCTGAGATCTGAGGATGGAGGCTCAAAGCCAGCCCAGGCAGAAATGTTCATGAAACTTTTATCTCCAATTAACTATCAAGAGCCGAAAGTACAGATGTGGCTCAAATGGAGAGCTCCAGCCCTTGGGCAAAAAAAGCTAAAAAGGACAGTGCCTCGGCCCTGAGTTGAAGGGACCAAAAATTAAAAAGGATGCCTGTGCCCAACTTCAAAGGGTCTACCTTCATAGCCCAAAGAAGGAAAAATTATACTGTGAGATTCACAGATTCGATGAGATCAGAAATGCACAGTGGATTCTCCAACTGGCATAAGAGAAGATTCTCAGAAGGCCCGGATAGGAGAGCTTTCTAGCCCTTCCTGCATCCCAATATCTTTCTGCAGCCTTTTAGACTCAGTCTCCATGGACCAACTTCCTTCTCAGCCTCCCAGAGCAACTGCCCCCAGCCCTCCTCAAGCTCCAAACTCGTTGCTCTGTCTGCTGTTATAATATCCGAGTCCTGGTAGAGAAAAACTCTCTGCTTCCCTGGTGGGCCTTCCAATTGGACATATGTACTTCTCAAGGGCAAGACTGACGCTAAATCTTCTCCAAAGCCCATGGTCTGTGTCCTTTGACCTTTTCATCAGAAGCCCACTTCCTCTAGGCACACAGAGGCTGCCAGCACCACTGTGCATGCGCAGTCACATCTTCCTTGTTCTCAAATGTTTGTGCTGCATTGAGCTTCCCAAAGAGAGGATAAACCATTTCTCCCTTTGGACATTTTCTGAGCTGATAAAACACATCAAAGGTAGCCTTGTCCCGGAGTGACCAAAAAGTGAGTAAAATCTAGCTTCCTGACCTTCTCTATACCCATGGATGGTGGGCTGCCATCTCTCTGCTCCTCATCTTCTCAGATGCTCCAGCTTATAAAAGCAGATCCCTTCCCAATCCCTAAGGGGTTGGCAGCTGCTCTGAACCTTAGCAGGTGAAGGCAGCAGGGTAAAAGTACTTAGCATCTTGCCCAGTGCTGGACACACGATGGGGATTGTGAATATCTCCACGCCACATTACTAGCACCTCACAGTAAAAAGCAAAGTAAAAGAATGAAGGACCAGACCTGGCACTGTGGCTCCCCGCCCCCCTCCCTGCCCCCCTCCCCGCCCCCCAGCCCATCACAACCCTCTGGGCCACATAGAACTTTGAGTCAAGAGAAATGGAGCTCAGCACTTACACATCCACGTCCTGAGAAGGGGAGAAATGTGCTCTCACTGGCCACGCCCCTAGCAATGGGGGACCAGGCTCCCAGGCCATGTGTTATTAGGCCGCAGGGCAGGGAGAACCAAGCTATGCCTCAGCTCTGGCCAGAGAAGCAAGAAGACCTTATCTATTCCTTTCCCATTCCACATGGTCACTCTGCTACCTGCAGTCAATAGGAGAACTTACCTGGGACTCAGGAAAGAGCTCAGAGCTCAGACAGAGGTAAAAGCTCAAAGAAAGGAAAAGGACAGTAAATAGCCTCTTGGCCCCCAGGAGGGCTACAACGATGTGACCAGCCTGGGGAGCGTGATATCACACCAGGGTATTTTCTTCCCTCCTGACACATCTCCTCCAGTAGGATTGAGGGCAGCAAAAATGACCTCTGACAACCTATCGGCACTACGCATGTCCTGGGAACCAGTCCTGTGGGTTTCTCACGGTGCCTGCTCCCGTCTCAGTGTCTTTGTGCTGACCCACAGGCACTGTTCAAGCTCAGGCCTTACCCCCATCCTTCAGGCTCAGGTCCACTAGGTCACCTTTGACTAAAAATCAGGAGCAGCTCTTCACATCTCTGGGTCTGGAGTGTTGTAAAGATGGCCCAGGGTGCAGTTCCTTCACATGCTTTCCACCCCTCCTCACCCCGCCCTGCCCTCCCCTCTGCACAATGTCTGCCACATCTCACAGAAGCAGATTAAAGCCTGGCTCTGGTGGTTCACACCTACAATCCTAGATACTTAGGAGGCTGAGGTCTAAGGATTGTGGTTCAAAGCCAGCCCAGGCAGGAAAGCCCATGAGACTCTTGTTTCCAATTAACCACTGGAAAATTAGAAGTGTAGGTGTGGCTCAAGTGGTAGAGCACCAGCCTTGAACAGAGTAAAAACAGATAAGCTTCTGAGTTCAAGGCCAAGTACTGGAACAACAATAACAAAACTCAAACACACAAACAAATATACTTCAATGAGGAGACATCGATCAGTTTTTCCTCATTTCCACAAAGGATCCAATATTGCAGCAAGACAGAGTTTGGTTTAGCATCAAGAATGACCTACAGTAAGGACAAAAACAAACCCAAGCTTTGGGAATGCTCCATCCCTAGAGATGTTAAAAGCCAGCTGATAGCCTCTTCTTTTGTCTTCCTAGAGATAAGGCTCCAGCCCAGTGAATGAGTCCCTGAAGGTCCTGGTTATGATTCTTACTTGATGTCTCAAGGGACCTCTCTGTGGGCTCCAGTGAGGTGGATTTCTTCCTTCCCAGGTTCATTAGGTTGCTCAGTTTAAGGCCAGATGAACTTTTCTTCTTGACTGTCATGATGAGAGAAAAAGTAACTGGTTTGCACACAGCCTACACACAGGAAAACTCATCCTCAATACTTGCACCCACCCCTCCTCACCTACACACACACACACACACACACACACACACACACACACACACACACACACACACACCACTTCTGTTTCCCAAGCCAGAGTTAGCTTTCTCCTAAGTCTCACCTTCAAGGCGGTCTTATAGAACAGGTAAACATTTGAGAATCTTTACAGACTCTACAGGCTTCAAGGGATTTGAAATAGGGTTGGAAAATAAAAGCTGCTTATTAAGTTTTACAAAATTATGCAATTTGGCCTTCTCGCCCATTTTCTAGGGTTTATAAGCTATACTATGTCCAGGTAATAGATAAGTTAGAGGACATGTTAGAATCAGCTACCAAGTACTCCAGGACCAGATAGCCAAGTTTCACACCCTGGAATTCAGTCACTTTCCCAACCCTAAGAGACATGGCATTGTTACCATCCTTAGTCTCTGGCACCTCGGGGTGCCCATCCACAGCGGTTCCATACTCTGCAGCTGACAAGTACTTCTCAGCTATATCTGGCTGCAGATAAAGAGAGACAAGTAGGGTCATCGTCTGGGAACAATCATGACCACCCATTCTCACTGAAGGGATCGTTCTTGAGTGTAGGCCAGAGTCACCTAATCAAACCCGACTAGCAAGAACCCAGGACAATGGTGGGCACCGTGGCCAAGATTCCCTCTGGGACTCTCTGCAGCACCTGCTTTCTCCATCTTGCCCGAGGTCCCTGCTCCATCCAAGAGCAATTCCCTTGTCCAGTCCACCCCCCATCCTTCACAAGTACCACAAACAGCTGTTCAACCATACGTGACAGTGGCTTGATGGCCTGTGGGAAGGGCAGATGGGCAGCAGTGTCCCCACTGGAGACTGGCAAGATGGGCACCGCCCACATGGGGCCAGGGGAAAATCTTTTGAGACCTGACTCTACTAACAACTGAGGGGATCTCAGGGAAGGGATGGCCCATCTGCATAGAGTCAGACATGATTCTAGACAGCTTGAGCATCCTTTGGTCAGGACAGCTGACATGATGAGTGGACAGAGCCTTTCTGAGCCTCACTGTGCCTGTGGGTCAAATGGGAGTAACATTGCTGACTGTTAGGGGTTGGTGGGACAAGGCATGGTCTCTGTGCCAGTGCTGGTAAATCGCGAAGCATTCTGAATGTTTCAGTCAAACTTCTAAAGAACCACCTATTCCAGATGGTCAGGAAACCAGCTGACAGCCCAGCCACTGGGCTGCCTGAGGCAAGAACCAGGGATGGGAGAGCCTGGCCAGTAATCCCCGCCATTGCTGTGTCTGCAGGGAGGACTCTCCTTGTCAATGGGAAGGAGAGCCAAGTGCACTCCAACTTCTGTTTTCCTTTTAGTGATCAAGGAATGAGTGGGACCGCAAAAGCACCAGCCCCTCTTTACACCATTTGGCAAGGCTGCAGATGCTACTCCAGGTACATATGGATGCCCAGAGAACAAAGGGTGTCTTCCAGCTCAGGTTTCTGGGTAGCTTCTTGTACTCTTTCCAGCCAGGGCTTGAGACCACACAGTGAAACCAGGACTTTCTGGCTGCTCTGTATACGCAGGCTTCAGGGTTAGCTGGTACCTACTGCCAGGCTGGTAGGACTCAGGAATTCACAGAGTGACTCTCTTAATTCCCACAGGTGATGGCATGCAACCCAATCACTTCACCAGGTCCCTTTGCCCCATGTGACTTTTGCTCCAATAATTCCCCTCCCCCATCCCCCAAGCTCCAGCAAGCAAATAGTTTAGGTCTATATCCACTTCATCCATTTTTCTGTCAAGCAAATGTTACTACCCTCATCCAAGCATTCTATGTTTTTTTATTAATTGGGCTGAATTTTTCCAGAGCAAATGACTCGAATTCTCCCTGCAGGTAGGGAAGAACCTTACTTTCTGACAATTCAGGCGCTGGGCATCTGGGGTGTACTGGTTCCCCTCGGATGCTCCTTCAGAAGAGAGGCCACTGACTTCCTGGATAACCTGGAGAAAGAGAGGGAGAGAGAGTGGCCATCAGCAGAGGAGAGTGGGCGGAAGAAAGGAGAAGATGCACTGCTTCCAAGGAACACGTGATCATGGGGCACACCTCCCCGGCAGGCTGCCACGGAGAGGACTTGAGGCTCAGGCACTTCCTTATGTATGTTCTGTGCATGGGCAGTGAGGCCTTTGCAACCAAGTTCATAGACGGCCAGAGCCATCGGTCCTCAGTTCCAAGAGCTCCCTTCTGGCCACACTTCCAGCACTGGTGCTGTTCTGTGGAAGATCTGCATTTGTTGATATGCCCCTGGCTTGGAGGTAGGGGATAGGGCTGTGGGCTTGCTATGGAGTCTCCACGATGCTTGGAAACAGGCCTGCACATTGCCTTGAGGACTGGTCTCCCACCATCCAATCCGCCTTCCTCTGGGAAGGAGTCTTTTACTGGCACCCAAGGTCTAAGCTGGGATCATAGAGGTTAGAGGCAGCTCTGACCTCACTGAGCAGCAATGCGCCCGGGCTCCTTCTGAGCCAAGGGGCCCCTTGGGGACTCCCAGAGGGAAACAGCCCAGGGCAGACACACACACACACACAGCCCTCCCAGAAGCCTTCTGGAGACACAGAAGCAGTTAAGTGTGACTTCAGAACCCCCCCCCCCTGCTTTTTCAGTTTCTGCCTGGAGTCATTTCTGGAAATGTCTTTAAAATCTGGATAACCAAACAAAAAGATGAGCTATGAGAAAGAAGAAAAATGGCAGTTCACATTTCTTCGACTGACCTTGGTCCATGAAGAATATGTGAAATAATGTCACAAGAAGAGGGCAGGTGCAGGTCATCAGACAGCTGTGTGAGCCTGGGCCAAGGCCTCAGTTGCCGTGAGTGTAAGAGGGGCAATACCTCCACAGGGTCAAGTACTTGGCACAGGGGCAGCTGCATCATTCCTGATATTATTGGGCTTGAATATGCAGAAATCCTGCCTGGGGCAGGCCGTACCACTTAGCCAGGAGTTGAGTTTTATGAGTGTGGGCTTTTCTGCTTTTTATTTTTCTGGAAAGTGCCCTGCCATGTGCTTTCCTTTTCTGAGATTCACAATCTATCCTCAACATCTTCTACCTACTGTCTTGCATTTGGTCATGCTGTGGGCCTGGTGTGTGATAAACTGGCAGACAGATGCCAAGCTAAGGCTGACAGCTTGGTGGATTGTAGAGATCCTTAGGAAGGCTGAGCCACACGGCAGGAGTGGGCATCCCAAACCACCACTGAATCCATCTGACCAGGGAGGAAAAAAGGTGTCTTCCTTGCAGGCTAGAACACAGTGGCTGTGGCTTCTGAAAGCATTCTTGTCTTTGAAGCTACTATCAGGGGCGACGGGGCCAGGGGTCTGGAGGAAAGGGTATGAGAGTCTGGGAATGTCCTCTGGGTCAAGAAAGGTAAGTATGAGTGAGCAGGCAGAGGGACACGCTGGAAATCAGGAGCAGGAGCAGTGTGCATTCAGTGTGTGCACGAATAAGAACACACACATGCATGTGTGAGTGTGGATATGTACCAACTGTGCAAATATGTATGTTCATGTATGTGTGTATTGTCCAATAGGAATGTGCATTTGTGTGTGCACAGTGGGTGAAAATGGAAAGGACTGGCGGAAGCCAAAGGGGGGACCTGGGCAAGGGACAAGCTAAACACCACTAGCTCCTAGTCAGCTCTGGAGCCCCCAACCAGCCCCTCACATTCTTCGGGCCTCCATGATCTCATCTGTGCTGGCTGAATTTCACGTACTCAGCCCTTACCTAACAATGCTGGATTGGGTGAGCACTGAGTAGCCATTAAGTAACCCACGGAAGAAAACTCAGCGAAAAAAGGGTGAAGTCAAGATTTGAAGCCAGAGCTTTTGCTCCCAAATGCCAAGCTTCATCTTTCAGAGCTAACAATCTGTCAAGAATGCGTCCAACCACAGACCTGCCTGTGCAGTGGTCTCTCATGTTCCATATCACAGTCTAACCACTTGAAAACTTGCAGGAAGGGTCAAGAGAGCTATCAGATCCTCCTTCATTTCGTCAGGATTCTCCAGACAGTGGGTGGTTTCTCAAAAGTATTTAGTGGCTTCACAAAAACAGCTCACCTGCTCCAGATCTTGGGGTACTCAGCCCTGGGGGTGGCCCATGCCGCAGGCAGGTACTTTTTCCAGTGATTCTTTAATCAAGAGCTGCAGGGCCATTTAGGCCAGGCTTGCCACAATGGCTATGTTTAGCTGAGCTGGTGGAGTGGGGGTGGATACAACGCTGGAAACACGTCAATGTGGTTGAAATGGTGAAGTGAGTAGCAGGACAGATGGAGAGGATGGTTCTGGCTCATGCTGATCTCACCGGGGTCACTGCTGGGGTTTGAGACCCCTCCAGAAATTAGCACCAAAGCTCCACTTTGGTACTAATTTTATGTCTTCTGGAATCATTGAGTTCATGTTTAACATGGGGTAAGTAAGCTCCTCCCTAAGGCTTTGTCGTCATTACACACCTGGGGTAAGAGATGGCACAGCTGCCCAGGTGATAGCAAAGAGAATCCTAGGTCTGAAATCCCGTGCTTCTGCTCTCTTGCCAAGTGGCCTTGATCAGTCACTTCCAGTCTCCAGTCGATTAATTAAGCCCAGCTATCTCTGAGTAAATCTACTCAAAGCTTGTGGTCCACAGGAAATACTTCACAGCTACAGTGACACCGACTCTTGTTTAATACGAAGCTGGTAATCACTTACCAGAACCCAAAAGACAAGTGGATTCCAACCATCCCCAAATCTCTGCCTCTGAGGATTCAGACTGGAAGGCAGCATACTAAATCCGTTTGCTTGACATGGATCACCATTACTAGGAGCACAGGAAACTCTGGACATCGAAGGACCACAGGCCCTGTGCTCTTGGCCCACATCATGTGTCCTTCCAAAGAAGCTGGAATTCCAGGAGCACCTTACAGAGAGCTCTGAAGGAAGCTTCCCAGACTCCAGTGGCCTGATGCCTTCTGCCTGCCCTTACCCGGAGCCACTGCTCAGCTTGGTCTTTGCTCTGCAGGCCCAGCACGATCACATCAGCATTCATTGGCATAATCTTCAGCTTGTGCTCCTTCTTCCGCACCTGCTTCTCCTTGTGCACAACGCTGCTGCCCAGCAAGTTCACGTCCAGCTGAGGGCTATGGTCTTTGGAGGATTTATAGCACTGGAAGAGAGCAGATGGTGCTTTGCCAGAGGCCAGGCCTACTCAGATCCTGTGAGGGAGGGGAATCTCAACACTGAAATACTCCCTGAAAACCTGACTTCACTCCCAAACCATAAGGCTGGACATCTTAAAGCAAGCCTGATGCTCCACTTTAGACATCAGTAACTCCTATTGCCCCCATCAGATCAACCCTACACCTGCAAGCCTCCTTCTCCTCAGCCTCAGCCCCAAGATCCTGCTCATCCCCATGGCACTTAATGACGCACTGTGCCATATAATGATGTTCTGGTCAATTACAGATAGTGGTTCCATCTGATTATGTCATTGTCTAATGATGTCACTGTCTTCATTTGTGCAAGTACACACTGTGATGCTCACACAGAGATGGCATCACTTAACAACACATCTCAAAATGTGCTCCATTGTCAGGGTCTTACAGCCATAGACCATAGACCCCTGTGAACAGCACTCATTTCTCCAAGGTGACAGAACCTTTACCATATCTCCACCTGTTTACAATTCTTTGCCAGCTTCCCCACCCAAAGGATCCATCAGGCACAAAACTGTTTACAATCTGCCTAGCTGATGTCTGTGCTAGCAAAGAAAGGAAGAGATCTTCTTCTTTCACTAGTGAAACTACATTGTCTCTCAGTTTCTTATTGAAAAAATAGGGTCCTTATAGGATTTCTTGACTGGACATCCTGAAATATAATCTCACAGGGTAGAACACATGTCCACTAGCGTTGCTGTGTTGCCCCGGCTGGCCTCAGATTCCTGGGCTAAGGGATCCTCCTGCCTGGCTCTCTCAAGCAGAACTGCAGGCCCAGAGCTGACCATGTCCAGCTCAAAACTGTGAATTTTAACTTAACATACCAGGAAATGGGATTGTCATCAGAACAATATATCTGGTTTCTCCAGAGGTCCTAACTTGGAATCAGCAATTCAGAGTCCCACAGCTTCTGAGAGATTCCTACAGTTTCACATTGCTTAGGCCAAAGCGGAAGCAAGAACTGGGTCTGGGGGCTGGGCTACAGGAGCCACTGGGAAGCCACATATGAAGAAGGACTAGGGGGAGGAAAAATGCCTTGTTGTCAAGAATAAAGGTGCATGTGATGGGGTGGTGGGGATAACCACAAACCCCTTTGAGCGCCTAATGAAAATGACTGGATCTTTCGAATCCAGAAAAGACACATCCCCTCACAGAAAAATCTGCATATAAACATTTCAAATTAGGGAAGAGGTTAAAAATCTCCTGATATCAAAAGGCTGTAACTTCTCCCACCCCATATCACATCAGGAAATGCACGTGCATGCACGCGCGTGCACACACACACACACACACACACACACACACACACCTCTCCAAGGCAAGAAGACAGGCACTCACCAGGAGCCTGGTGTCCCTGATGACACAGAGCTGCTTAGCCCACTGGCCCAGCCACTTCTTGCGCCATAGGAAGGCACAGATCCGGGCATCTCGCATCAATTCGATGCTGGCCTCTGGCGAGGGCCACTGGTAGGGGGCCGACTTGCCCTTGCCACTCTCCTCTTCATCGTAGGACTCATAAGAGCTGCTCACTGCCTCTCCATCCTCTGCAAGGAAGACCCACTCAGTCAGGGCCCCATTAGGCTGCGGGGTGTGTGTGGGTGGCTGTGGACAGGTGACAATGGGATGGGCAGCAGGCAGCAAGCAGGAGCCAGCCAGTGGCCCTCAGGCCACACCCCCACCTGCCCACCCCCATGCCCTTGAAAACAGCCTTCAACCCAGTATCATACTTCACTTTCCACCCCGATCCCCTTGGAGAAGCTTCTCCAATGATGGATGGTACAAGAGCACTAAGAACTTGAACTCGAAGTTGTCTCTCCTTTTCTCTCCTCAAAGCCCAGCTTCCAGAACCTACAGAATCACGGGCTCTCCCACTGACTGTGTTCCTGAGAAGCCAGGTGCCCTCCACCTCTGATTCCTTAAATGAAGGATGTGAAGGATGAAGCCAGAGCTAGAAAGACTTTTCTAGATTGCCTTGGACCTGGCACCTCTGCCCTCCTCTGGGGGTCAGGAGGAAGAGAATGTCCTCTGAGAACCAGCCATGTGCTATGCAAGTATCCAGGCTGCCTGGTTTGAGCCCAGGTTGGGTAGGGTGCGGGGAGCTGTGGCTCTTCAGAAAGAAAGGGCCAAGTGAACCATAGCATGCAACAGCTTTGGGAGAAGGTAACTCATCTTCTATTCTATAGAATGTTGCCCCTTAGCAAATCCACACATTTGCCTTAGACTCCTTTCAGTTCCTTTATCTCTCTCTCTCTCTGCCAAGTAACCCTGGACAGAATGAGCCCTTCACCTGTCTCTATGTCCCTCCTCTGCTGCTGGCTATGAGCCTACCTCACATTTCTGTTGTTTGACAGAATCCCAAACTCACCCCAGGGCAAATGCACATACACCACCTGCCTCAGTTTCTAGTTTGTTGCCACTGCCCTGCAAGAGTTGTTCCCTTCTCCAGACTCATGTCTGCACTGCAGCCCAATAAAACCATGCTGTCTATCTTATTTATCTATTGATCTACCTACCACCTACCTATTTATCACTAATTATCCACTCATCATCCTTAAAAAGCAGTGCATAAGGAAAAAGGAGTCCCAGGATTTCAAGCCCTGGCTCGGCACAGATGCCTTGTCTGTCATGACCTTGCTGACCATAGGCCAAAATTCCCTATGGACAGCAAGCTTAAACCTCCTGAGCACTGGACATTGTCTTCCATTCAGAAAAATGGGCCCAATGACTACCTCCTGTAATTTCTGTATGACAGTCCTTGTTCTGCCCCCAAGTCAGGCTGAATGGTACCTCTCTTCTGTCCCATGATACGCTTCAGAGAGGGACAGCCTATGGAGTGTTTAAGTCTTCTCAGAAGGACCCAGAAGCTTCTCTCCTATCTGGATTTTTCATATGAACCAAAAAAACCACCTAAATTTTAATTAGAATATAGGAAAATGGAAAGGAGCTACTACAATAGTTATTTTAATATTTCTAAAAAATAACAATTTAAATATTTTAATATCAATTTTCCTTTTAGAAGCAGTGTGTTGTTTCCTTCTTGGCTTAATTTTTTAAAGCTGCATATCCATGATTTTATACCTAGTAAACAAAAATGGAAATTTCAGTACAACTCAGCGGGGGACTCTGAACTTTCTTATTGCTGATGGCAACATGAATCCACAAAGCCTCTTAGAAAGCAATCTGGCAGTTTATTGTCTCAAGAGCCATAAAACACTCATACTCTTTGATCCAAGAATCCCATTGTCCTAGAGTTCATCTTAAGAAACTAGATTTAAGAAAAAAAAAAAAAGAGGAGGAGGAGCTAGGGATGTAGATCCAAGGTAGAGTAATTGCCTAACATGTACAAGGTTTACTCCCAACATCAAAATAAATAAATAAATAAAATAGTAAAGAGGGGGGAGAAATGTTCCATGCATAAATACAATCATCCAGGAGTTAGTTAGAGCAGAAGGGGATTGGATAAGGAAAATACTTTTTTCATCCATTTAGGAGAACCCAGGAAACTGTAATCAATTAAAGCCCTCCATATCAGTTGCCAACTCAGCAAACTCCCCTGAGAGTTGATGACAGGGGAAAAGTGCACAACTAGGATTATGTATTCTAATAGATCAGCATGAGAAGATATCAGAGAACTCACAGCAGCTGATGTGTGAGGGAGGTAGGATGAAGGTCAGTATGTTTTTGTTGTTTTAACTTGTCCTTGTTGTCAGTATGGTATGCTCTGGACAAAAAGTGCAATAAGAAGAAAGAATATCATTGGGATTTTTTCTTCAAGAACAAAAATTGACAGAGAGAGGATACAGGGCTTGGTATATAGAAGTCGGGTCTGCCCCTACCTCATCCTGCATGTTTTAGCGACCATTCTGATACCATAGGCTCCCAGAAAGCTAACTTGGAAATAACATGTTGTCAATTTGTTGCTTAGAGAAAATTAGGACAAATGTATGAACAGTAAACGTGAGATCTTCTTAAGACAGGTTCCTGGCTCCTAGGAAGCATTTGGTGAGCAGGAATGAAAGGCAAGATGTTCAGATAATTTCACTGGGATGCACCCAGTGAAGGGAAGAAAGGCTCTGCATGCTCAGCGTCTTTCACCATTTTCAATGCCACAGGAAGAGTTCGTCTGTGAAAGGCAGAGTATGTCACCTTTCATACACACAGCAGATGGATGGGTGTGTGTGGACATGCAGGACCCATGCAGGAGAATGGAGAGATGATCACTCTCGGGCCATGCAGCCATCTCTGAGAGCACACAGCAGGTGAGGAATCATTACATTCTAGCTTCAAGACAAGCAGTACCCAAGGTAATCGTGGCATAAATGACTCCTTCTGGCACCTGTACCCATCTGGGGACTCCAGCAGGGAGAAATCCACCAGAATGATCTTTATGATGTCCCAAAGCACCACAGGAGGCAAGAAGAGAGAGAGAGAGAAAGAAACAGAGAAAGTGAAGATAAACAGGACCATACCCAAGTACAGAGACTTGGAAGTAGCCATGAGAGGTTGGTGCTCCCCCTCCAAGACATGGGCTTGTCAAGACACAGCCAGCCCTCCTTTCCCATCCATGTGACTATCTGACACCAGTGGAATATAAACAGAGCCATGTGCGTTGCTTCTGGCTGGAGCTTTGCTTTTAAGGAGAAGACAGGAGTTCTCTGCTCTATCTTTACCGAGGATTCAGTGGCCCCAGAGGGTGGCAGAGCCAGTCATGGAAGGAACTCGGGTATCAAAACAACAAATACCGACATCAAATACTGTGAAAGCAGGGGTTGGGGGAGGGACATAATAATTTGTGGAGGGGAAGAGGAAAAACAAGTCATTTAAATAAGGATACAGGTGGACCCATTGCAACAATGAGAAGTACAAGTTGTCATATCGAAAACGAACTTTACAACTTTGGTGGGGTCGGGGGGGTGGGGAGGATTGGGTGGGGGGGTGTGGGGAGGCTGGGAAGGGATGGGAAGGGGAAACAAAGGAGGAGGCT